TTGAAATGATTTTTAATACATGTTGTTTTATGAGTTATTTTATGTTTTCTCAAATATCCAGAAAAATGAGTTTTAAAGGCTTAAAGGTTGAGTTTCATGCTTGGAGGTCAATCTGGATTTTCTAGAAATTTGACCCACGCTTGAGCGGGTACTTTCACGCTCGAGCGTGAATCCTGAGTACATGCACTTCCGCTCGAGCGTCTATAGTTACGCTTGAGTGTGAAATGAGTATACCCAGAAGTTTGTGTGTTTTGCAGTCCGCTCGAGCGGGGGAAACCACGCTCGAGCGAGACTCTGAGTCTTACGCTCAAGCGGGGTCGAGCGCCCGTCGAGCGTGAAAATTTTGCATCCAGTACTTTTGTCGATTTTACAGTCCGCTCGAGCGATGAATTTCACGCTCGAGTGGAGCTTCAACATCTGCATGTCCGCTCTAGCGAGGTAATCCACGCTCGAGCGTGGACCTTATCTTCAGCAAAATTTAGGAAATGGTTTTCAAGGCATGTTTGCATCCCCATTCCATCCTAGGCATTCCTAGGCCATGTTTAAGGCCCTTTAATGAGGATTAAAGGTTAGAAACACACTAAGAGCCATCGACGTAAGTTTTATACAATTAGAACGTGTGTTTCAAGTGTGCATCTGTTATGTGTTATGTAGGTCAAGTGCTGCGTTCTGTCTGACTAATCTGCTCCGTCTGTTTGCCTCAAGGCCAACTGTGAGTAATAACTTAGTAAAGGTAAATAGGATCTATTTTCTGTGTGATAAAATAAGATCTGTTTTCCGAAATGATATGTTCTGTACAATGAATGATTGTTCAATTTCTGATATGTATTCGTGACATCCTTAGCATCTTGTAATATTTATTGGCTGTTACCCGGTATCGGAGGTTCCTTTATGGAACTTATATCCGTCTGCACTTTGTTACTCGTACCGGAGGCCTCGTCATGGGGGCTCAGCTTCTGTTTTGTTACCCGGATCCGGAGGTTCCTTTAAGGAACTGGTTACTTGTAACCCTCACGTGTCTGCCTCTGTTCTGTATCTGCTCTGTTATTGCTAATGGATGTATCACGTAAACTTAAGCATGACTTATGGTTTTTGTATATGATCTGGACCAATTATGGATTTGATACAAAACTAAATTATGATTTCTGAATCTGTACGGACTCGTTCATTGAAACCCTTTTACTCTATTATTATTCACGGGGCTTTCGCTCACAGTTTATATTATGTATGTAGGTGATCCGGCGTGTGACTAGGGCCAGAGTTGAAGGCCTTCTGTTTTGTTTTTGTCAGCCAACCGTTGTGCCTCCTGAGGAGGTTCCGATCGAAGTCTAATGCCATGGCTATTTTTGTATTCATGCTAGTCTCTGTGACTGTTTTGTAAAGTCAGGTCTTAGGATGTACACTTCTGTAAATACCTTGTAAATATTGGCGTCCTTTGACTGGCATGCTCATGTATATATATCTAAGTTTTGAAATCTACTGTCTCATGTACGTTACCACAACTTATTGGACCTTGTCTATTTTATATATTTGTTTCCTCAGCCCCTTATTATATGCTTATCTGTTCAGAGGCCTTTAGTAATCCATGGATTATTAGTCGGTTACGATGCCTAACCTACAGGGGCAGGTTTGGGTCGTGACATTAGGTCAAACTTATAATGACCAGAATTGTGACCCAATCACCCACAAATATTAATCAGAGAGAGAACCAAGGCAACGAAGACAGAGAGAGAGAGAGAGAGAGAGAGAGAGAGAGAGAGAGAGAGAACCTAACACCAGAAGTCGAAGTCGATTTCAGAGTCTGGAGCAAGAATGAGCGTCAAGGTCAAACCTTACGTTGATCGTGTGCACTAGAGAGCGAGACAAAGAGATCACCAATCAGAGTCACATAGAGCGATCGATCAAACCAACCTAGAGACCAGAACCAACAGATGACCAGCGACGAACAGGATAGAGAACCCAGCGAAGGCCTTGCGAAGAGAGAAAAAAGGGATGCGATGGTTGATGATAACTTGCGAAAGGTATGCTAGCGTTTGGAACCATGCTTTGATACCATGATAACATAGAAGAAACTTGTATATTGATTACCTAAATGAATTAAAAGCTAAGTACAAATATATAATCTAATAGGATAAAACCCTAATAATCTAAAGGACTAAACTATCTTTAATGAATAATATAAACTACTACAATAATAATTCACAGAAAAATCAAGACCTAATGGACTACCCCTCCAATCCCTAAGGGACTTTGGGCAATTAAAAAACAAATGCTCTAAAGTTTCCTCCCCCCGCAAACACCTCAGACAGATTGCATCATTCAATACATTCCTGATTTTCAAATTATATCTGACCGGAAGTATGTTGTGAAGACATTTCCATATAAACCCGGACCATTTAAGTGGAACTTTTAGCTTCCAAAGCCACATCCAAATAGGATTATTTTGAGAAAGCACAATATGTTTGTGTGCAACAAACCTTTCTAAAGCTTGCCAATAACCGGATTTAACATAATAATCCCCAGATTTGGTATGACCCCAAAGATGGTTTATCAATCATAGGAATTGAAGGCACATGAATACCTTGGATGTTGTTGATACAATTTTTCGAAAAAAAGTCTCAAAAGATTCAAACGCCAACAATTATTTTGTTTATCAATGAAGTGAGAGACAGTTACTGAAAAAAAATGTCTACGTAAGCCATGCCCTCTCAATGGGTTCTCTATGGAAGGAATCCATTGGTCCTCTAAAGGATTTATCAACTCTCCATTCTCCACTAGCCACCTTACTCCCGAAAAAAATAGATCTCTTCCCATAAAATGCTCCGCCACCCCCAGGATGCATTCTGACTACGTTTGACAGTTTGAAAATTATGTTTTGTGCAATACTTACCCATGAGAACTCGTACAAGAAGAGTCTCAAGATTTGAAAAAAATTTCCAAGCTAGCTTAACTAAAAAGGCTTGATTTGAACAGCCAAGATCCCGAAAACCAGTCCTTCCCAACACTTAGGCAAGCGCAAGCATATTCTATCCCAACTCCGCCAACACAATCCCTTCTCTTTGGATGAAGACCAAAAAAAATTTCCTATGACTGCAGTGATTTGAACCAAAACATTTTGTGGAATTTTAAAGAAAGAAAGCGTACATATGGGGATTGTTTAAAGGACATATTTTATCAAGGTACTCTGCCCTGCAATGTTTAAAGTTAAACTTGCAATTTTGAAATTTATTTTGAATTTTCTCCACAAATATCCGAAAGACCTCAGATTTTTTTGACATGAGAAATCAAGGGCCTTCCCAAGTAAATACCCGGTTTACCAACACAGCGAATTTTAAAAACGTTGTCCAGAAGTTGGTTTTTGATCAGGTTTAACATTGGGACTGGCAAACAACACAGACTTGTGGTAGTTAATCTTCAAACCAGAAGCATTGCAAAAGGATTGAAGAAACCAAACCAGTGAAGACGTCACACTTCTGCCGGGCACAAATTCGTAAAAATAAAAATGTCATCCACAAACAGTAAGTGGGAAACTGGAGGCGAATTCTTACTCATTGAAATATCCCTGAAGATAATATTTATTGGTTGCTAAGTGAGAAAAACCTTCAGAAAGCACTTGCATAGCAAGAAAAGAAGAAAAGGATAAGGTGATAATTATTTGAGGGGGATTCAATGACAGTGGTGAAGGCCATTCAGCAAGCAGAGCCGTCTCTGGCTATGATATGGTAGGGAAGAGGGGTGTTCCTTTAGGCGTTTTAGTGCAATTCATGTCTTGAGGAATGGCAATGAGGCTGCTCATAGGGTAACCGTGTGGATGGAATGGAACAAGTCCTAGCATCTTTGTCTTTGTTGGTGGCTTCTGATGCTGGTTTTTCTGTGGTTTAATGTTTGGCATTTACCAATTTAAAATAATAATAATAATAATTTGAAATATTTCACAGAAATGATTTTAGTTGAACAGAGATTTTGATGCCTTCTCTCCAGCTTTATGAATAAAATTCAATTATAAAAAGATAAAATAAAAAAATAAAAAAAGCAATCTATCTATCTATAATAATCAACACTTAAATTTTAATTTCAAATATTTTTATTTTAAATTTTATCTTTCTAATAAAACCTAAGAATCGGAAGAATTAACGTGTTTAACATGATGTCTAAACTTGTTCCCAAAAAAAAAAAAAAAAAATGATGCCTAAACAATGTGACAACATTATACAAACTAGCGGATCGTATACGTAATGTGTATGTAATTTAAAAAAATATAATAGTCTAAGAATAATGATACACAAAAATGCACATATAATATTTATTGCTCATGTGGTAAGGTTGCCAACCTCATGATATTGGTTTCAAGTCTTGTCCTCTTCTTTTTTAAATAAACATCAGGATGTATTGGAAAAATTCAAAATATGTGACACAAAAGTATAACACCATCGCAGGCCTTCCCTTTATATAAAAAAATAGATTACTTAAAAATAAAAATGTTATGAATCCACCATTATCAACTTACAATTTATTTCGAATGTGTTTGTGTGATGAAAATATTTATTCCGAATGTGTTTGTGTGATAAAAATTAAATTGATAAAGTATGAGATTCATGAATAGAATGAATCTAAATCATAAAAAAAAATTTCTAAATATATTCTGAGTTATTAACCCCCAAAAAAAAAACAGTGGTGATAGAGACCACTAATTTAGAAACACTAATACCAGCTCTAATGAGCTGGCAGTGCAAGAAAAAAAAAAAACAAAGACCAAATCATCACATCAAGATGAGATCCACAATAATGTCAACTCATTAGTACAGCTTTAGAGCTGCAACTTTAGTGGTCCCAAACATTATTTAAAAAAAAAAATCTATAGACCAAGTGCCCTTTCCCTTTTTATTTTTGTGTGTAAACGAATCATTGAGTCGGGTCGGATAGAAACTCAACAGCAAAGAAGTCTCAGGAATCAAACCAATGGGACCCAGTACATACCAACTGAAATTGGATAAACTCACTCGCACTCTCCACAAACACAAAATTGCCTGCAAAGACGCAAACAGACACCATTGAAGAAAGAAAGGAAGATAGAGAAGAGTCGGGAAATGGGGATTGTCTCTTTTATCTCAACCGTTCCTTCTCTGCCTGCACTCCCTCCAGTTCCATCTCCTCCCACCATTACCACATCTGCTGTACCCAGCTACCCTATTCATGCTGTAAGTCCATTCATTTTCTTCACCTATATATATATATGTATGGGTGTTATGTAACTTAGTAACCACTCTTTACATCCATGTTTAATTTCTCAAAGTGCTTGAGGTTCTTATTCAAGCATTGTTTGAATGTTGTGCAACCAGGATGGAACTATGAGAAGCCTATGGGGCCAATGGCCCTATTTGTGTGAAAAATTCTGTTTGTCATACCACTTTTTAAAATATATATCTTATTTCATAAATAAAATGGATAAGACATATATCTCATTAGTCTCTGATCTTCCATTCTCTTTTTATTTTCTACCAAATAAATTTATTCATCAGAGATTGTTTCTATGGTATTTGAATTTTTTTTAGGTGTATATATAATTTATATATTGTATTGTACATACATATACATATGTGCTTGTACATATGGTGAAAAAATATTATTCGTTTTCTGGCCCTCCAGTGATTGAAATCTTTGTTCCGTCCCTGTGTGCAACCAATTTTGTTGGGTTTTGAACATTTCCTGTGTGTTTGTATGTGTGACCAGAGTACAATTAGCTGTAAGATTGAAGCTGATAATGCTAGTGAGACTCAATTTGGTCGAAGAGATGTTCTTAAATGTTTTGGGGCTACCATTGGCATGGTATGACTAATCCATTATGTTCTTTTGTGTTTTGCAACCTCTCTGTTTGATATATAATGCCTACAAGAATAGCTGTTAGATTTCCTTTTGTTAGCTTGAGACTTGTTTGTTTGTTTGTTTGTTTGTTTAAGTTTGAGAGAAGGATGGTTATGTTTGAGTAATTATGAATCGGCGAAATGGGTAATGATAAAACTCAAACATTAATTGAGTTGCTAGGGTCCAATAAAATTCATAAACTTGTTTTTGAATAGATACATTTTCCAAATGTTGCCACTTGCAATGAGAGAGAAGTTGTGTGAATTTAATTGAGCACAGATGATGAATAGCTAAATGCATAGGAGGGGAGGAGAAATAAATAGCTGAGGTAAATGCAACAATAATCTTAACAAACAGTGCAATTTCTCTGAAACAACACAAAATTTACTAATAGTCCTAGATGGCATTAAATGCATGTGTGGCCCAAATGAACAGGTGAATTACATCCCACTAAGTTTAACTAAATTGCAATCTTGGAATATCTGTACAGATTTTAAATCCAATTTCAGTGTAAGAGTTACATGCCGTGCCATGAAAATAATTTGTGGTTTTCCGCAAGTACGTTGGATATACTTTGCTAATTGTTGTAGCTTTTGGGCTTAGTTCCCATTTTACGTGCCAATCTATTTTCTTTGATGGTTACCAAATGCATACCCAGAATAAGGGCCTAAAATCACAACATTTACTTCGTTATTGAGATTCCAAGTATGTGTTGGCAAAAAGATTCATGGGAAGAAAGTAATTATTTTGATTAGCTTTTTTAACAATCTAACAATAATATGCACTTTTCACTCATTCAAACCATGTAGTAAAGATATTTCTTGATTCATCTATCTAAATAAATATACAATTCCATGAGTTGGAGTGATGTGATAATGATTTTTTGTCAGTTGTCTCTCCATAGGAAATAATAGCAAGCTCTGGTTCATTTGTTGAAGAGGCTTATGCTGCTGATCTGATACAACGTAGACAGCGTTCTGAGTTTCAGTGTAAACTTTCCAACCATTTAATTTCCTTCATATACACGAAACATTGCCGATGTCTACTGAATTGAATTAACATGTTTTCTTTGACAGCAAATGTCAAGGTGACCCTTTCTGCAGCTATAAAGGTAAATCCTACCATGATTCTTAATGATAGTACTGATCTTTATGTATTGCATATTTAGACCCATTTTTACAGATTTACATTAAATTTACTAGACTTTTAACCTGCAATGCCGTTAATTGTTATTCCTGTGTCTGTTTCAGGGAAACCCCAACACCACTATCATATTCTATGTATTAACACAAATTTCCAGCACATGTTTTCTTTGACAGCAAATGTCAAGGTGATCCTTTCTGCAGCTATAAAGGTAAATCCTACCATGATTCTTAATGATAGTACTGATCTTTATGTATTGCATATTTAGACCCATTTTTACAGATTTACATTAAGTTTACTAGACTTTTAACCTGCAATGCCGTTAATTGTTATTCCTGTGTCTGTTTCAGGGAAACCCAGATCTCATTCCATCCATACTAACTTTGGCAGTGAATGATGCTATGACATATGATAAGGTGAGAGTTTTAATTTTACCTGTTGAAACTTTGAGTTGAAATTAGAACTATCCATTATTTGCAAAAAAAATAGATGTCAAGAAACTGATGTGATTCTAATTAAGTTTGTAGGCTACAAAATCTGGGGGCCCAAATGGATCTATACGGTTCAGGTACTTGTAACATATAGCATAATCAGACATAATTAGAGGCATTAACAATGAAAGGAAGGCATGAAATTCTGCTTTCTTCCTGCTTTTACCCTTAAACTAAAATCGGGGTCAGTATTTTGTGTACAAGCTTACGTTGAAGATAGATGAATAATATTACACTAGGAATCTCTCAACCTAAAGTTGATTCATCTATTGTGTTTCAAAATCCTTGTTCTTGCTGGCTTTAAGGTCTTCAAATGCCAATGTACAAAATGACCCAACTGTTTTGGATGCATGGAATGTGGATGAGACAAAGTTGTGGAATATGCAAACTATGCTGAATTGTCAATTTCATATGGAGATTTTGGATCATGGATCAAGTTGGTTTAGGATTCAAAATTTCCACCCTTTTTTGTTTTTTTTGGGTGCATCTTTGGCTTAACTGATTCAACTCCTTGCTGAAATGTTACCTCGATTTTCTTCTTGTCTGTGATCTTTTCTTGTTTGAAGCTTAGAGATTAGCAGACCAGAGAATAAGGGGCTCTCAGCTGCTTTGAATTTACTAGAGGAAGCAAAGAAGGAGATAGATTTATATTCCAAGTGCGGTCCTATTTCATTTGCAGATCTCATCCAGTACGCAGGTTAGCATATCAAATTTATCACCGAGTTTTCCCCATAATTCTTTTACCAATATATTCATTATGGTAATTTACCGAGAGCAAATCTGTGGCAGATGAATAGACCATAGCATGCGCGCAATTGCACATGGGTGTGTGCTCATAAAATTAACAATGTAAGGTTGGGGAGTGTATTAGAAGGAAATAAGTAACTGTATATGGAATATACAATAATAGCTTATCAAAGAGGTGGTTCATCATTATCTCATTACTGATGATTTTATTTTATTTTTAAGTCAACACATAATATCAAGCCCAAACTATAAGCAAACTTCTGTCACCACTTTGTGAAACAATATTCTGAAACAATTTGTTTCAATATTATTCACATCCCTTTTCTATTTTACTTGGCTTTACTGTAGTCATCTATTTCAAAGGACTTACCAAATGCTGATGGGTAATGCAGACTTGGTCATGTGTAGAATTTTTAATACATATGTTCTCCACGTAATTTCTCAAAAAAATTGAACACAAAATAAAACTGCGCACAAGGTATCGTATTAAAATACTATGGTAAACTCATTTCAATTGCCATGAGGAAAAATAAATTCATCTGAAAATCTATCAAAGACAATGAATTCATTTGTTTGAATTTGGTGATTAAAAGCTCCTGACCCAAATTTTTTTTTTATTCAATGCAGGACAAAGTGCCATAAAGTCTACCTTTCTGGCTTCTGCCATCCGTAAATGTGGTGGGAATGAAGAGAAAGGAAGCTTATTATACACTGCTTATGGTTCCAATGGACAGGTTAGTTGCTTGTATTGTGTTATGTTATATGCTCGCTCACAACTTTAGTCTTGTTTATAGACTAGTACGTTCAAGTGGCAGTTATTTTTTTTTGTCATATAAGCTCACCAGATATAGATATACATAAGCTCCCCTTCCCCCACCATCAGCTTTATGTTATCAATTGATCCAATTTTCGCATGCTATTCTATCAGGTTATGCCTTTAAGTTATAGACGAGTACAAATTCTCAAATTATGTGGCTGTTTTCTATATGCTAATAATTTTTGGGATGTATAAAGTGCTACAGACAGTTAGACACCATGAAAAGACTAGAGAATAGGATGTTTATGGTTCAACTCAGCTTTGAATGCTTATGAGAGTCAAGCCAAGGGATTGGATAACTGTCAAACTATTGTATTGTATGTCAGTTGCATAGAGAACTGATGAATACATCTTTTTACTTGGGATGCAAAGGATTTTACATGATCATGTTCCTATGTTGCAAACAGTGATGCAAACAGCCAATATGGCAAAATGAGAACAAGGAAGTCATGCGTAGGTCAATCATTTATTGCACAAGACTGCATCAACACAAAGTATATCATCTTTTAAGTTGCAAGCTTGTGCTGCTCCAATTGCTTTGTGTAGCCTTTGATAATACAGATGTCTCTGTCAGACATTAAAAGGATGTGTTTTCTTGAGTGCATTACTTCACAGTAATGTGCAGTGTCGTATATCATCAGTTTGTATGCAAGTTAACTTGTTTTGTAATTCCGTTTCATTTTTGGTGAAGAAACTCATGTTTCATAAATAATGTTGACCTAGCTGTTTAGCTGGTCCTTTACATCAAATTAGCTTCCCAAGACAGTTTTCAGAGTTGAATCTGTGCAAAGTAGCATTTAGTCTATATGCCTCTGTTTATACACATTTTGTATCTGTTTTCCGTAATGCTTTACCTCTCATGCAATATTATGAAGGGAGCTGTGGATGTAATGCATACGATTGTCTTCATGCTTGCAGTGGGGCTTGTTTGATAGGCAATTTGGGAGGTTCGATGCCCAAGAGCCAGATCCAGAGGGGAGGGTTCCCCAGTGGGAGAAAGCAAGTGTTCAGGAAATGAAAGATAAGTTCTCAGCTATCGGATTGGGTCCCCGCCAGGTAATTCCTTCTAGGAAAATGTTATTTTTGCAATTAAAATGATAATGTTATGTGGCAGTGATAGTTTTGTAATTAAATATCATCTTGATGGGGTTTTTATTTTAAAATAATAGGCCTAAGTAAAACCACAACATTATGTTTTTTCCTATTTGTATATCAGTAAGCTTTCCTCAACAAGTTGTTGCAACTTCAACTGGCTCAGCTTGTCTTTGTTATCATATTCATTTATGCCAAATCCATGTTACTTGGAACTTCTTCTGATTAATTCATTAAAAATGTTCACTAACCCAATTCTTCTTCCCCTCTTTTTTTTTTTTTTGGCTGGCCAGTTAGCTGTTATGTCTGCATTCTTGGGTCCTGATCAAATGGCCACTGAGACCTTATTGGCCACAGATCGAGATGTTGCACCATGGGTTGAGAAATACCAACGAAGCCGAGAAACAATCTCCCAAACTGACTATGAGGTTAACACCATTATTTCTTTTTTCTTATTTCATGAATTACAGAAGGTATGGAAACAAAATGGTTAGGGAAGTAAAAGATATCAACTTTTTTGCTCAAGGAAGAAAATTATGAAGTATTTTTTTTGGTTTGTGATGATATTTCAATCCAATATGTTTTGAAATCAACCGTCTTACAGCAAAAAACTAATCTACTAGGAAAAATTGATCATTTTGATCCGTAATATGACGTTGAGTTCATGATTTGTATGTTCTTTGAAACTGCTTTATTGACATTTCATCTTTATAACTTTGCTGTGTGATTTGATTCTTTTCGTTTCAGGTTGACCTAATAACTACCTTTACAAAATTAAGTTCCTTGGGCCAACAAATCAATTATGAGGCATATACATATCCTGTTCAAAAAGTTGATTTGAGCAAGCTGAAACTATAGGATGGAAAAGCACATGGTTTTGTCTGGTAAGATGCCAACTCCAACCAGCATATCATCAGTTTTCACAACAAAAAGATCACTCTTGGAGATTTCAAGGTTGAGCTGGGGTCAAATCCAATAATCAGTAGCAGACTTTTTATTTAAATTTTTTCATGGCATAGGTGGTTAACGTTGCCTGAGTGAAATAATTGTTTTATTTTGTAATCAGGACAGTTTGAGATGTATTGAATTGAAAGGGGGTTTAAAAAAAAAACTACCATACCCATTTAGTGTACCTGTGGAGCACATCATTTTGGAGAATCTCTACCCTCCAATTAAAGGTTCTGCCAAAACTCAAGTAATTATTAGCTTTCATATATTGGGAAATATAGTCTCATTTGAATCGTGTTTCTATCATTCCAGGCAAGGGTAAATGTAACCACTTTAGTATGGCAGAGATGATAAACTAAAAAATTGAAAGTCCACAAAAACCTAAAATTTACCTGTTATTGATATATTGGATCAATTATGCATAAACATTGAGAGATTGGCGAGGATACGACCCATAAAATTAGGAATGAATGAAATGGCGAAGTGCATTATGATTGTTGCGTGTTCATAGGATTCCAATAATTTGAATTTTTTTTACTAATTTTTTAATAATTTTATAGGATTATTATAAGACCTCGGATTCCCTTTAACTTAAATATTTTATTATTATTTTTTTCATAGTTTTATAGCTACAAGACCTATGACGATATGTGGGAATGTTGGTTGATTGAGAAAACATGTTCATAAAAATGAGTGTAATTGAAATAAATAAATAAATAATTAATTAATTAATCACCTGGATTTTGAAAAATTAATGTAATATTTAGTTTTCCTATCTGGATTTTGAAGTAATCACCTAAAGGCCACCCGTAAAGGGTCTTAATGGCTCAGGGATAACAATAGAACCATCTTCTTGTTGGTAATTCTCAAGTAAACATATGATCATCCGTGGAACAGCACAGGCAGTGGCATTTAATGTGTGCACAAACATATGTGCACAAGCAGTGGCATTTAATTCTCAAGTAAACATATGATCATCCGTGGAACAGCACAGGCAGTGACATTTAATGTGTGCACAAACTGTGCTGCAGCAATATTGCCTTTTACCCTTTCTGGGATTTATTGATGATGCTTCAGGATGGTACCGAATTCCCAGCCGATGACTTTGATAGTCAGTACAATTTGATGCACTTGATATCTGTTCAAAAAATAATCAGTGAACGATACACACACGCACATGTATATACACGTTTACACAACACATTACTAACATACCTCACCAAATCGACCTAAGCCTGGCATCCATGCCTCCACATCAAATTTACGATAGGCAGGTGCACCTAAATCCTCTGAAGCCATATCTAGGGTTCTGCAAAGAAGCTCAACGTTTGAAGCACACATTGATACAAAAACAAAACCACACAAGTGAATATACATGTATTTATATATGTATACAAATGTATGTCAATACTTACTTAAAATGAAAGCCTAGAGACGAGAAGAGGCCCTCTTCAATTCCAATCAATTCCTCATGGTAAGAGTCACTTTCCTCAGGTCGGCAAAGGATGAACATCTCCAACTTGCTGAACTGGTGGACTCGATAAAGGCCTCTGCTCCAGAATACTCACCAATACATCAAATATGATACAGAACTAAGTATCAACAAAATCTGATATATGTAATAGTAGGATTATGAGCTCCCTTTATGTTCTTCCCCTTTTTGGTCAAGTGAAGCAAAAGAAAACAAAGCAAGGATACTTAACCACCACGAGTGGCATCTGCTCAGCAATGTGTGAAAGGTCCTATAAAGTAGATGATTAATGCCCAAATCATGGTTGACCAAGTTATATTTACATATTATGGAAAGAAGTCCTCGTCAAGCATAGTTATTCAGATCTAGCTAACCTAAAGCAGAATTTGATATCCTAAGATTAAGGCAAAAAATATTCATCATTTAAAACATCTAAAATTCTTCCAGGATGCTGTATTGGAAATGTGCATAATAGCACCTGTTAGACATATCCTCCATGATGAATTCCTGATCAATACAGGAGCACAAAACACATGCAGTCATTGCAATGGGGCTATCACATCAATCCCCAGAAATGGGGGAAATTTATATATACAAGCAAGAAAAGAAAGAGGAAGGGCTCCAACAAAAACAAAAACAAAAACAAAAAAAAAGTTTAATGCTAATTTCTATCCATCCATGAAAAAATAAAGATTGATGATAGATTAATATTAGTTTAAGTGCACAGAATACAGAGACACCCACATAAATTGAATTGATGAGTTACAAGTATATTCCCTTGACAGAGTTACTTGCAGGTGATTTACCTTGTTGCAGCACCAGCTTCAGTACGAAAACAATGGGAGAAAGCTACATACTTCAAAGGTAATGATGATTCAGCAAGAATAGAATCCATATGAATTCCCCCAACTGGAATCTCTGCAGTGCCAATAAGGCATTGATCACTACCCTCTATAGAATAAACCTGCAGCAGTTGGCAAATATATGAGCAAAATATTTGTCTACGGCTTTTGAAAGATCAAATATCTTCCCTTAAGTATTAGTCACAAAGCCCAACCCCCACCTCCCACCCCCCACCCAAAAGAAAAGGCCCAAACAACACAAGCTTTAAAAAAAATTCTCATGTCCCGGTTCAACATGTTGGAACTCTAATTCTGCAAAACAAAAACTTGAAAACGAAAGGATAGAAGGCATTATCTACCCTCATAACAGCCACTCACAAAAATCAAACGTCCATGATTTGTTAAAAGCATAAACAATATATGAAAATCTACACAAAAAAAAAATTAAGAGCATTTTTTTGGGTTCATGTCCATGTTAACAACCAGAGTGAAGGCTAGACTAATGAGGGGAACAGAAGGATGTGCAACGGATGAAAATCCAAAATAAATTTTTAAAACAGTTGGTTAAACTACTGGTCACACCAGTTCAATTCAATGAAGGATCTAACCAGTTCTTAATAGTTATATATTCCAACCCGGGATAAATATGAAAGTGAAAGTGGAGTGAAAGCCAGCCCTTAGCAGGATCCAAAGACGTTCGATCTGGATATAAAAGTGAAGTTCAATCGTCGAAAGTGACCTCTCGTTTAGTCTAGTCTTCTTTTCTCTTTTGAGTCAGGTTCTTAAGACAGAATAGGAAATCGGGTTTTCTAAGTATCTCCCTTCCGGCCTGTCCTATTAAGTAAGTTAGTTCGAGATCGAAACTGAACCTGAGAGAGACTAGACTTCTAGTAACAGTAGGAGAGGTGAAACCGTTCCTTTTGAAACTTTCTTAAAACCCTATAATATGAGGCTCCCTTTTGCCCAGCTCGACACCTTGACACTGGATATGAAGCAATCTAGGAAGCACGGATACGGATACGGGATACGGATATGGATACGGATACGGATACGATACGTTACGGCGATACGACACGATACGGCGATATGACAAAATTTGAAAAACTAGGATACGGGTACGGCGGGGATACGTTCGTAAAAAATATTATTTTAACAATTTTTAGTAATGCAGTATGCATAAAAATAAAACTTAAAGCAAAAGACAACTTGATAAAGAAGAAAGATTCCTACAAAACTAAGAGTCTTCAAGGTCAATAGTTTCAACTTGTTCCCCTTCATCAGTGAATATCACAAGACCTTAGCTAAAGCCAAAGCCAAAAAACCATTCTTAAATAAAAATTTCAGCAAATATACTTTTTTAAGTCATCAATGATAGCCTAGGAAGCACGGATACGAATATGGTGATATGGGGATGTGGATATGGCGATATGTCAAAATTTGAAAAAGTATGATACGAGTACAGCGGGGATACATTCATAATTTTTTTTTTTTTTTTGTGATTTTAATAATGTAATATGCATGAAAATAAAACTTAAAGTAAATTAATAAATAAAGAGAGGGATTCCTATTAACCTAAAATTGCTTAAACATTCATAAAACATTCAAAAATAAAAGCAAAAGCAAATACAAATTAAACATCATCCTTACATGCCAACACCAAAAAAAGAATGAGAGCAGAGAGAAGAAACGTGAGAGAGTGAGAAAGCGAGAGAGAAGTGAGAGAGACAACAAGGATACATCAATTTGACAAATTCTATTACTTAAGCTCTCACTATATTCCTCTTATGAAAGAACTAAACAAAATATTATAAGTAATATGTAACTTCGAGTATCCGATACTTCAAAATTAAGTATCCGATACTTCAAAATTAATAAAAAATTAATTAAGAAGTATCCGATACTAAGTAGTATCTGATACGTATCCGTGAGTATCCGAGGAGTATCGGTATCCGATAAGTATCCGATACGGATACGTCACCCTTTTTGAAGTATCCGTGCTTCATAGGAAGCAATATATTGAATATACTTCAGTCACTAGCATTTGAGATAAATGAAAAATTCTTATGGTTTATTATATGAAATCAGGGTTACTTAGAAGAAGCGGGTCTTCTTATGAGTCGAAAACTAGAGGGTGTGAATCTAGAAGAATGGAGTTGTCAATGATATCACTGGTGTGAAGAATGGAGTTGTGGGTTTTTTTTCCTAGCAATTGGAGCCCTCCCTTCACCACCCCATGGAGATGGTCTACAGGGTTCATAACTACTCTTACTACAGAACGCTTACCTAGCCAACACTTAGATCCGGCTCTACCCAAACTTTTCTGATTCACCCCAACATTCCCCACTTGTTGCGGAGCAGTTTTTGGATATCAAACGGATCTCCCCTGAAGGTAATTTTAATGTAGCTGATTTCCCGAATTTATAAAGCTTTAAAACATCACCCCTCTTGCATATTGAACAAGAATACTCATTAATGTTTAAGCACAAGCCAAAGGATTTCTCTATGAGAAAGTAGAAGTAGACACAGTTAAATTGATGGGTTAACATACGACCGAGCCCCAATAGCACAAGGTTGTCTTCTAGTGTAGGCTTGACAACCATATAGTAATCCAAATCACCTTGGATAGTAAATGTGAGGTCGCATTTAGGATCGACATCTCTGGTGAAGGTTTCAACTAAAAATGCTTGCGGATCGAACTCTCAGTCAAGAAGGGGAGTTCCATCAGCCCTTTTCCCTTCTATTTTGACTCAGTGACACACCGAATTCATGGTTACTATGGTCCAAATGGAAAATTAGCAACAATTTAATATTTGATGACCCATGCTAGATGAAGTATATTCATAAGAGACAGTTAGTATTCATAACAATATACCTACAAACCTGCATATTTTCTACACGAGGTTGGAAGGCACATTTTTCAACAACAGAAGATCTCATGATTTCCGAGGTTGCAAGAGGTGTAAAGCCCCTTCTCATGACTTGCGAGATTGTCCAGTTTATAAAAGCCGTCTCTAGTAAAACTGCTTCATTCTTCAGGTAGTAGAATTTTGATCCACTGACCTACACAACCATGAACAAGTAAGATAAACTATTTATTAAAGCCAAATTCTTTTACTTCTCATTTCCTTGTTGTTGCATGGAAGCCAAATATTCCACACTGACATAGTAGAAAATCAAGCTCTGCACTGAGTCAAACATAGCCAAGGTTGTGAACTAGAATCATTAGATTTCAACAGCTATACAAAAAGTGGTCCAACATCCTTTTTTTTTTCTTCTTTTGACAAGTGAAAAGTGTTCAGAGACATATGAGAGTCAATAATTCAGTAGATAAAAATGTTTGGGCCAACATAACGTGTAATGGAATTCAGCGTGAAGCTAATGAAAAGCAGATAAGTAAATTCTTTTGCAGTGCATTCAAAGTTCTATTTCAGGGAAATGAAAGCGAACACTCAAGGAATATACACCAACATTACTAATCAATTTGAGCTTGTCATTGACCTGTTCAATAGCCTGCAGCTTCCAGTCAGCATTATAAGTTGCAAGAGAATACTACCAACAATTCATCTAGGGATGTAAATAGATGATGGGAAATTTTGGCGAGCTTTTGAGATTTTTACAGAATATAAATTGGACATACAAGTTTTAAAAACTATCAGATTGAACAAATAAAATAGAAAGCTCAATGTGTTCAAATTCGAGTTGATATACTTTCCTCTCTGTTTGACTTCTAAAAAACACTTAGGCCTTGTTTGGTTTGGTTTTGAGAAACAAATTTTGAAGAAAATTTTCTAAAATTTTGTTTGGTTTAGTGATTTTGGAAATTAAATTCCAAAATCACTTTGTATCTCCTACACATCAATCAACTACTTTTTCTCTCTCTTCTCTCCTTCTCAATCACTTTTTCTCTCACACATATCTACTCAACTACAACAAAATCTCAAATCATCCCATACTCCAAAAAAATATACAACCAAACAAACCAAAAAAATTTCTAAACTCTTTCTCCAAAATTTTTTTTTCAAAATTTATCTCCCAAAACCAAACCAAACAAGGCCTTAATCTCGGAAGTATTTACCCCATAAATAATTCATATTAAAAGACACTGCATAACAACTCTAAATCCTCCATATAAATGAGCTAGATATGCTAATACCTTAGTTGAACAGCAGAAATACCTCTGAAGCAGCATCAAAATCAATGAGATCTAGATCTCTCCCAAGTTGAAAATGATCTTTAATAGGGAAGCCAAACTCCCTAGGGCTACCAACCTATCAAAATGCAAGTAAAATGAAAAAGAAATCAGCAAGAAGAAACTAATAATTGCAAGGGAAAACTTAAAATGAAAGCCTATGATAGGGAGAAGGATCATGTGAAACAAAATACCATTTTTGTTAAAACAGAGCAATCTTCCCCTCCTACTGGAACATCCAGATGGGTCATATTTGGTATACGTTGTGCTTATTAGGAAAAATATGTGATTCCCATAAGTAAACCAATCAATGAGAATAAAAATTAATGTAAAAAAATTAAATCAAAGATAATACAAGAATTTTTACGTGGTTCCCTTAATGTGAAGTACGTTCACGGGATCGAAATCCAATTTCACTATCAACCAAATAAGTTTCTAAACGATTACAAACGAGACATGAATAGTCTCACAAACCACCCTTAGGTGAATTCTAAATAATCATAAATAAACAAAAAAGAAAGACCTCACCAAATAGATGAATAAAAATTTTCAAAATCAAAGTTGAAGAAGACCCAAAATAATTAACCCAAATCAAGTCCACCAAACAACCGAATAAGTACACTGATAATGTTTCAAAGAACCAACAAAACCGAAGCAAAGGGAACTTCTGAAGATCAGCCGAACAACAGCACTAACTCATCCAATTTAATTCCAACAAATATGATGCACCAAGTGCTATCTCACCGAATTAATTGATCAAAAACGTGCTGCAACTTCCCAAGCAAAAACGGCTGCACTTTTTCTTTTGGAAAAAATAATACCAATCACATATTGTGCATCTAGGGTTTTTTATCAAACTCTTAGTTGTTTTCAAATTGAATTGGGTCTCTACAAATTAAATATAATATATAAAAATATATTATAATTAATACTAAACCAAATTAAACTCTTTTTTCAAAACCAATTGGTCCCAAGTATAAGCAAGTCTTCTTCCAAAGTAATAAGTCCTTCCTTCAGATTCTTTCCTAAAGAAAGATTATAAAAGGGCAGAATAAGATGACCTAAAGGAAAAGATTGAAAGAGTGATGTCAACTCCAAATTCTATACCTTCTTCTATTAGCTTTTGACGCTCAGAGGGTTACAGTTTTCCTTTCATCTTGTTTGCAACCACATTCCTTTCAGCACGAAGCCTTTCAACTTCCTGCTATCTGTGAATGACAATGAGCTAAAGTTGAGAATAAATATGCAGCATTTTAGACCAGCAAAAGAGAAGTGTGCTTTAAACCAACACGATTTGTCTAAGCATAAAACTTCATTTAGATGTTTCCTATTTTATAATGGGAAATGCCACAAACATTTGTAAGGCTCAGTTCCATTCTAGTTCAGTAAACAAGTCTGTAGCATGTTTTTTGTCTCCTACAGAGAGACAGAACAAACTGCTTTTTTCATTGATCAAAATTAGTCATGTGTGTCCACTGTTGAGTGCCTGTAACACAACTTTAAGACCCGTGGCTCAACTTAGGCTGAATCTTCTTAAAATGTATCAACCAATTGCAGGGTTAAGAAAGGTAGATTCACCCGAGCAAGGATCCTCTAGAGTTTTTTTTTCCTAAAGTTTCCTAGAGTGGTGCGTTGTGTGGTTGAGATTTAATGACAAGTCACATCAATTTTTCAGCATTAAATCTCAACCACACAATACATCACTTTAAGAAACTTTAGAAAAAAAACACTCTAGAGGATCCTTGGTGGATTCACCCAAGGTGTAAGGCTTACAGAGTCTCAGAAATCTGTCAGTTATACATCACGCACAAATGTGAACAAGTCTCAACATGATTAAAGCAATGATGACCCATCAATAGAACAAATTTTGAACTTGCACATGTTAGCATACAATTGGTATGTAATTCCATATGATGCACTTTCTTATCATGTGATAACAAAGATTGGCCACAAGACACAAATAATGCATCATGTAAGTAGATTAATTAGCACTTTCAACAACTCCCGTGAAAGTTGTACATTTTTATATATAAATAAACTTTATAGCGATGAGTCTTCTGGTTAATTCAGTGCCTATCTGATATCAACTCATGCAGAGAATTGGGGCTTTTTCCTAAGTTTACAGAGTAAAATTTAAGTCTTATTTTATTTTTTATTTTTTTCTTGTTTCCACCAAATTCTTCATTTGTTGGTAAGACAATAATTTTCTTGGAAGGTTTTGGTTGATTCTACCTAATTTCAATATTTTTCTTCTTGTTACAAATGTCCTTGATGGTAAAAGGAATTGACATGTTGTGATAACCCTGTTCCGTCTTGTGCTAATTGGTCCGTAATATGAATATGATTATGTGTTTAATGTGAGTTTGTGTGCCATTATGTGAAAATATGTAACTTTGAATTTCTATCTGTTCACCGTAAGAATATCTGTTTGATTATCTGCTTTGGAAATTAAATTGAAGGCCCTATCGGCCACAGAAACTGAAATCGATTGCGCCTTTGTGATTAGCGTAATTTTTAGAGCCTACGGTGAAATTTAATTGGAAATTGATTCGGATCAAATTAATTAGATTAAATTAACGAATTAAGTACCCAATTATTTTATATTAATAAATTGGAATTAGTGGGACTTATGTAAGGAAAGGCACTACACCCAATTCACTTGAGCTCAAAAATAAAAATTTGTGTCTTAGAAAGAGAGAGAGAGCCGACCTTGAGAGGGAAAGGAGGCATCTTGGTGTATTTTGGCTTGTAATTTGTGAATTGGGAAAGCTAGGTGCAAGACTTGGCCACAATTGTGAGAATCAAGGCTCCTAGGTGAGTAACCAACCATTGACTCATGGATTTTTGTTTGTAAATTGTGAATTCAAGTTTGATTAATGGTCAAAAACATGAGTTAGCTTGATCATAAGGAAATTGGGTTCATTTTGTTGTATTTGAAGTCATGGAATGCATGCATGTGCATAATAACCATGAATTTGCATAATTGAGCATGAAAAATATGATCCATGTAATATTGTGGCTAGAATCCATGCTTGTGACCACCATTTGTACAATTTGAGTTGAAATGGAAGTTATATCTCATATGCATGTACCATTCAGAAGAGGTATGAGCTTGAATGCATGAAATTGTTATGTTGAAAGTGAATTTGGTGTAGATTGGGACATGCATGTGATTAATTTGTGAAATTGAGCTCCATTGTGTTGTAATTTAGTGTTTGTACCATGTTAGTACATATATATATGAAGTTTGAGCCAAAATTATGAGTTTGGAACCTTTGGAGGTCGAATTGAGCTCAAGAACAAATTCTGGAAAACCCAGAATTCTTGATGTCCGCTCGAGCGGAGAAACCGCCGCTCGAGCATGAAATACGAGCTCCCAACATATTTTGCAGACATGGCGTCCGCTCTAGTGGGAAAGTTCACGCTTGAGCGGGGAGCTATGTAGATATATCTTCAGCTCGAGCGGCCGAGTTGGCGCTCGAGCGTGAAATGGATGTAACTAGTACTTTTGCAGACCTCATGGGTCCGCTCGAGCGGGGACCCTGTTTTCTGAAATTTTGAAAAGGGCTTCTATGTTTCGTTTTCTGTTCTCTTTCACTCCTAAGTACTCTTAGGCATACATTGAGCATTGTAATTGAGTTAAAGAGATAAGAATGAAGCTTAAAGAGGAATATGTGAATTAAAGAATGGATTGAATCGTTTGTGACTCATATGTGCTATATGATGTATACGGTCAAGTTCCAGGGCAAATCTACAAGCCGATCACTGTGAGTAATGTCTTAACAAGATATTTGAGATATGTTATTGTCCAATTGTTTACTTCTATGTAAGTTTTGTAAGTTCATTAATTTGAATGGTGGACAATGATTGACATAAATGATTGGGCTAAAGGCCGATTGACATGAATGATTGGGCCAAAGGCCGATTGACATAAATGATTGGGCCAAAGGCCGATTGACATGAATGATTGGGCCAAAGGCCGATTGACATAAACAATTGGGCCGAAGGCCGATTGACATAAATGATTGGGCCGAAGGCCGATTGATACAAGTGGTTGGGCCAAAGGCCGTCTGCTGTAACTGTTTCAAAGATTACTTATGTATCTTCCTTATTGATATTATTCACTAGGCTTTTCCTCACGCTTATTCATGTATATGTAGGTGAGCCAAGGGACGTCCAGAACCAGCCTCGGTGAAATTGTGAGAAACAGTCAGAGTTTTGAGGAGTCAGCCCAAACGTCTCATGCACGAGACTGTCTTCAGCTTTGTCCTTTGTTCATAGTTTTGTTATATTAGCTACTTTTGTATATAAGTCTTGGGTTCGACTAACTTAAACTTGTATGATCCTGTATGTACAGTGTTCCGTGTTGGTACACATTTCGATGTGAGTTATTAACATATGAATGTTTGGAATGTTATGGTGTGCATATAAACACAGCTCTATGGATAAAGTTTTAAATTTGCTTCCGTTTGGCCCCTTTACTCTGATGAGTTTTGTTTATTTGGTTTGAGGCCGTAGGTAATCTCGTGATTACTAGCCGGTTATGGCCTTAACCCATAAGGGCGGGTTCGGGTCGTGACAGAGTGGTATCAGAGCACGAGTTAATAACTCACACACTTGTTCAAAAGAGCAATAAGCGCCTAGAAAAGATCTAGGATGCATTCATATGGTAAGTATGAATTTGAAAGCATCAAAAATATGCTTAACTGTTAAATGTGAACAACTATGTGCTATAAGTTTGTGAACTACTTGCATTTCAAATTATTTGATTATGTATGCTCTTTAGTACATGCATACCTGTGTATCTTTTGTATAAAGTATAGTGCAATTTTAATTAGATGGTGAGAACAAGAGGTGATGAGATAGAGGAATCTTCTACTGCCAGACTGGATAGAATGAAAAGACTAATTCAGGAAATGGCAGAGACATTGAGGCAACAACAGGAATGGCAACAACAGTGGCAGCAGCCACATCCCTTACCTCCGCCTCTAGCACCTCCTGTGCTAGATAATCAGAATGATGACCGAATCATAGCTCTCACCAAAGAGTTTAAGAAAATGAAACCACCACAGTTCGATGGTGGATTAGATCCTTTGAAAGCTGAAGCTTGGGTCCTCGGCATTGAAAAACTGTTTGAAGTGTTCCCGTGTTCGGAGACACAGAAAATGTTCTAGCCACCTTTATGCTAGAAGACGAAGCAAGAAGATGGTGGATGTTAATGCGTGAGAATTACAAAGATGCTGATTAGGAAAAATTTCTGGAAATTTTCTATGACAAGTACTTCCCGCAGTGTGTCCGGGATAGAAAGGTGGCAGAATTCATGGAACTGAGGCAAGGCAGTATGACTGTAGCCGAGTATGAGGCCAAATTCACTGAATTGGCCA